AATGGGGTGTGAGGCCGCGGTGATCTGGCACAGAGTGTCAGAACAAGCAGGGTGAGAAGGGTGAGTGTGAAGAGGGGCAAGCAGTGAGGGGATACCGGCACGCTGGTGACAAAGTGTCTAGATCAGAGAGGAGTCCACAAGCAGCAGCCGGGCGTGGACTATCAGAGCCTTTGAGGTGAGGAATCAGAGACAGCTGCCGCTTCTTCCCATAGGTAATATCCAGCGCTGGTACCAGGAGTTCCCGCATTCGGCCAGTAGCAAAGTGAACGGAGACTCCTGGCGCGGTTACCAGGAGAGATGAGCAGACAGTGCAGAGGAGCAGCTGCAGGAGTAAGATGCGAGCTTCGCCTTCATCACACTGGGGGCAGCTAACTCCAACGTGGGGAGCCCACATCTGAGTGTGGAGACAGTGCTTCTCAGAATGTGGTGCCCAGAGCATGCCGGTCCAGTCAAAATGATGAGAGGTGTGGGAGAAGCAAATGTTTGATCGTGTTGGTTGGTTTATAAGAAATTATGTGGAAGCACATGGACTTTATGTCTGCTGCGGAGTTCAGAGAGCACAGTTCTCACGACAGCCTTCCCTAACGGCTTACTTCCTCTTTTCCGTTCCTTCCTTGTTTCTTTCTCACCCCTTTGGAGTTCTTGGTATTATGTTTGTGTCACGGCATTGGCATATTTAAAGTTTATAACTCACGTTTGCTGGTGCCAGGGATTGGAGCTCATGCTGTTCTCTCAGAGACTTGTCTATTCAGTGCCTCTGCGTCACCCTTCATGTTTGTTTCTTGATTATAAGATATTTTAAAGAAGGCATTACATATATTTTCTAAAGGCAGTGGAAGGTTTCTTCTCAATATGGTTTCAGAAAACATTTATGCTAACACAAACTTCAAAAATGAGTCTGATTTCTCAGACACCAACTCAACCTCTCCTCCATGTAAGAAAGCCTTTTCTGTTGCTCCTAGATAGTGATGAGGCAAGGATGAAGGGAGAGGATGTTAGTTGCTGGTTTGTTCAGGGGCTGTGTCTGGGGAACACTAGAGACTCAGCAAATTGTGTTTCCTGTAGACAGATGTGAAAGGACTGTAGGGTTGTATAGCAGAAAAGAAAACAGATTATCTTTACTTTTACCATTTAGAGAAAATAAATTTATTGCATGCATTCCACATGTAAATATACATAAACATGCATAACATATTTATTGCTATTTTTATTGAATTTTTGTGGACTTTGTATAATACATTCTAATCATATTTAGTCCCCTTTCCCTATCAGCACTCCCCATTAGCCTTCCCACATCACATTTTGTCACATATATTAAGGCCTATTGGACCTTACTCGTATGAACTTACGGCAGTGGTGTCATGATGTACGAGAAAGACCCATGCAAACTCGATTAGACAAAAACCAGCATAGAACTGGGGAAATGGGCAGGAGGCCACAACTTTGAAGAAGAACTATTGGCAGCTGATCACCGCTGGGTGAGGGAGAGCTGACCTTCTTTAAGGGAATGATTCTAGAAGGCTGAACAGGTTCCAGTGGATGAACTCACACCGAGGGACATCTGGGTATAACATATTTTTCCAAAAGTTAAATCAGAGTGTAGAATAACAACTCTGCCTTCCCTCCTCGCCCCCATATTTGATAATATCTCATAACTCCGTTGTTTGGCAGTCAAATGTTGAATGGTTTGTTTCATTTCCCTTCCTTCAGTGATGGGGACCAAACCCAGGGCCTCATACCTAGTAGGAAAGTATTGTAATTGTTTTAGAAGTGGTGACTAAAAATACTGACTTTATCCTAAGTATGTGAGGTGCACAAAGATTTATTGACTATAGTATACTTTAAAGTTGGGAACAAGCTATACGATTTTGAAGTGTATTATGCAACCATAATAAAGCGTGCTAAAGAAGATATGGTGATATGGAAGAAATGTTCATCTAGAAATGGTGGCACATGCCTGTAATCTCAGAAGTCAGGCAGTTGAGATAGGAAGGTTGCTGTGAGTTTGAGGTCAGCTTGGGCTACATAATGAATTCAAGGTCTGCCTGGGTTGTCTCAAAAACAAAAACAAACAAAAGAATGTATATGCTACAATATACCAGAGCAAATGGTAGTTAGAAATCAATACTTATGATCTATCAATTATGGAAAAACTTGCTAGAAAGATATATACCAAAGTTCTCAATGGCAGGAATTTATAATTTTATGTATTTTTAGTGTTTCTACAATAAATATGATTATTTCCTATTCCCATTGTCATATTATTTCAAACATCACACTATTAGTGTTTATCATGCACAAAAGGAGAAGAACAAGAAAAGGAAGAGGAAATAAATTCAGAATTCATGATATGAATTTGGTTTGTCTTTCAGGTCCTCACAAGAAGCCCGCTCACGAAAGTTGTCACAGTTTTTCCAAATTCCTTCTTGCCACATTCACGATATGTTTCCTGCTGTTGACAATCTTACTTTCTGTTGTTTTCATCAGTGAGTATGTCAACCAAATCAATAATCAAAAAAAAAAAGAAAAAAAAGAAAAAAAAAGAAAAAGTATCCAATGGGAATTGCACTGGATGATGGTTTTATCCAGAAACTTGAAAAAAGAATTTTATCTGGGTATATCATTTTGAGACTTTCGTTCTGTTTGAGAATTACCCTGCTGTAAAAATAATGGAATCCGCTCTCACAAGAGAAACTGGAGCTCACGTGTGCATCTGTTGGTGGTACTGAGAGAAATCTGTGGAGCATCTTGTATTAGAGTCAGTGTTGAAGGCAAATTTATCCTTCCTCAGTGGCATTTAGAAGCCAGCCCTACTGGAGTGCACAGATTCTTACATTTTAGAATGAGTAGGGGGACAGGAAGAGATGGAAAGAGCTATTTCAGGAAGAGTTCTCCAATCAATTTCTTCCTAATTTTTCTGTTTCTTCTCCAGACAGTGTGAGATTTAAAAGTTAATTTAGCAAATAGGTGGAGTTCCTGGTAAACTGGCTTTCACATTCATCAACATTTTAAAAAAGCATAAATTAGTTTGCTTTTGTGTAGATCTTTTATTCATTCTATCCAGTAATTAGTAATATCCATTTATTGTCTGAGAGGCAGAATATTGGAGGGTCCAGAAAGAGCTCTAGCCCCTGGTCCCAACAAATTTAGAGAACAGCCGAGTGACCCATGCTTACAAAATTGTATGGGAATTTGTGCAGGTTAGACTAAGTACAGGGGCCTGAGATAGGCTTGGAGGAGGTGAGATCTATACCTGTGTGTGCCAACAATGTCACAGACATATGTGAGCAAGGGAAAATATGGGCAAATACAGGTACACATGACTGGAATGTTAGTGCTAGGTGAAGAACTAAGAAATGGACTTGTAGGGAACAGACACAATAGGACTCAGATCACGAGGCAGTACATATCACTATAAGGAGTTTGGGTAATCCCCCCCCCCCGACATTATTTTATTAAGTAGCTTTTGGTTCTTCATTAGCCAATAGAAAATGTAGTGGATTAATTGAACTCTTGATTTAATTTATACTCTGTAGCTTACCAGTTTATACTGGTCTCACTTGGGAGATTCCTGTGGTAATGGTGAACTCACTCATGTGTGTGTATTCAGGCATCCGTCATAGGCAACTCAGCTTCACAAGGCAACATCAGACTTCCAAGGTAGATGACTGCAGTGAATCAAGCCTCCTGAGAGCTCAACATGGAACTAACCCCCATTTGCTTTTGTATATGGCCAAAGAAAGTCTTAAAGGCAAGTCAGATAAAGTAATGTAGAAACAGACCCCATGTCTTTTATTTTTTTTCTTTTCTTTTGGTCTTTTTGAGACAGGTTCTCCCTGTAGCCCCAGCTGGTCTGGAACTTGCTATATAGACCAGGCTGGCCTTGAATTCACAGAGATCCATCTGCCTCTGCCTTCCAAGTGCTGGGATTAAAGGCGTGCACCACCACGCCTGGTACCCCATGTCTTTTAAAAAATATTTTATTATTTTAATCTTATATGCATGAGTGTATTGTCTGCAAGTATGTAAGTGCACCTGTGTTGTGCAGTGTCCATGGAAGCCAGAAGAGGGCGTTGGATTCCCTGGAACTATAGTTACAGACTGTTGTTAGCCACCATGTGGGTACTCGGATTCAAACCCATAGACCTCATTTCTCGAGTGTGGAACTGCAAAAACATAATCCAAAGGGATGTGGATGTAGGGAAGGTTGAAAATTGTGTCCAGTTTCACAGTGTGTTATGGTCATGGAGATACACTAAAGAATTTTAAGCAGGAGATGATATAATTAAACTTTACTTACAGAAATATGTTCTTGCAGAGGCATGGAAGTGAAGATAAAAAGAAATTAGAAAGCTAATTCATAATTTGATCAGGAAATGGTGAGGAAGAGCATTGATGATGAGCAGGAGAGGAAATAGAATCAAGGAGATAGACTTTGAAGAATATTGGCAGCTTGTAATTAAGGGACCGATAGACTTTGAAGAATATTGCCAGCTTGTAATTAAGGGACTGAGAAGTGAGGTACGGCTTTAATATTATGATTTTATCAGGTCACTAATCATGAAATTATTTGAAGAAGTAGACAATGTCAGATGAGTAGCAGGTTTGATTTTCAAATGTAATGATTTGAGTTTGGGGCATGTTCCCTTGAATCTCAAAGGCACAAATTTAGTGAGAGAAATAACAACCTGGATTTTAGGAAAGAAGTCTAACCAAGTCTTAGAAGTTATTCGTGAATAGAAAACAAATAACAAAACAAACTAAAAAGCAAAGCAGAACAACAAACCCCCACCAACCCAATAAATCCAACAATCCAGGAATATTCAATATTGTTACGGAATATTCAATATTGTTAGTATGAGAAGGTGGGATATAGATGAAACTGGGCATAATGTTCCATTTTAAAAATATTTACTATTTTTATTTTATGTTTATGAGTGAGTTGCCTGCATGTATGTGTGTGCACTCATGTCGTGCAATGCCGTGGAGGTCAGAAGAGGGCATCAGATTCCCTGGGGCTAAGGATGGTTCATAACCACCATGTGGGTGCTAGGAATTGAACCCAGGTCTTCTGCAAGAGCAGTCAGTGCTCTTTACCCCTGGGCCATCTCTCCAGCTGCATGTTAAAGCAAGTGGATGGAGGATGAAAAACTTACAAAAGGGCACAGGAAGCATCGGAAAGAAAAACAAGGCAGACCCAGGAAGGGTCAGTGTCCCAAGAGTTGAGAAAGAGAACTGGGATCAAGTGTTGCAGGAAGTCCAAGGGGAAGACGACTGATAAGCCGTGGGATGTCACTGATGCTCCACCCCAAGAATGGCTTAGTAAATTGGTAGAAGTTAAAGCCAGAATGTGGTGAACCAAGAAGTGAATAGGAGATAAGGAGGAAAAATAGAAACTTCAGTTTCTAGTAGAGAGGTGTGTGAGATCCAGGTTGGGAATGACCTGAGAGTAGCTGCAGGGAGGGGTAAGAGCCAGTTGGACTGGAAAGCATTACAGGGAAAAAAGACGAAGAAAACATTGCCCTTGTGATAAATGTAGGGTTCTTTTATATTTTCCATCCGAAGTTAACCCAGAACTACTCAGAATTAGCTACTTTCTCTCTTATATAAAAGCCCTAGGCTGTGTCTGTCTTTAACAGACAAACTTATCTGTTTGCTTCAAGGTGTAGCCTTTCTGTGCATCTTCCATTAAGCATCAGAGGAGAACACAGATGTGCTCCTTTAGATCATGATGATGAAACTGTCATGTCCTCTTTCAGTTATTCCTGGAGATATGTGTAGTCTCAAAATAAGTAGAAATAGAATTGCATTAGCTGTGGGGTGATGGAAAAAAATCTCCTTTTTTTTTTTTTGAGGTATGGTTTCGGGTAGCCCAGGCTAACCTTGAATTTGTTGAGTAGTCAAGGATGTCCTTGAACTTCTGATCCTCCTGCATTTAATACCTAAGTGCTGGGATTATAGACAAAGGCAACCTTGCCCAGTTTATGATGATGGGAATATATTTTCCAATCAGGCTCCCACTACCCAGCTAATTGGACATTTGTAGATTCTATTTCTACAAAGAATGCAAGAAAGTAAAATAGAGCTGAGTCATAGCACTATCTGGGAAATGAATTTTTTTAAAAAAATTCTTTTTTCCAGCTTTTTTCAAGAATATTCTCAAGTTCTTAAAGAAAAACCAACTATAAAAGAATTGAATTATATAGAAGTGGAGTGTACAAGACAGCATTCACTCATGGGAGGTAAAACTTCACGTGCCTTTGCATTTATTATGTGATGCCATATTGCCACTACGCCTGAATAAAAACAGCCTGATTATTAGCATTCATTTTAAACCAAGAGTAAACCCAAATTGCTGAGAAACCTGTTCCTTAGAATTCTCTCAGAACTGTGCTCTCAAACAAAGGGCTGGCTGTTTAAAATAGCACACACACAACCACAAACAGACATTATCAATTTAATCCCATCTGCTGCTTGCAACACAGATGGGATAATCACCTCATTGTTTTAAATGCACTGTTTGTGGTGCTTTGATGTGCAAAACATACATATACACATTTGTAGATTATTTTGGGTCGAAGGCAAGGAACAGTCATGAAGGATTAAGATCATATGTCCAGGTCACAAAAGGAACATAGAACTCAGGGAGCTTGTCTACATTATAAACAAGCTAAGATTAAGTTTTTAGTTGCAAGGTTAAGTAAAAGTCATTAGTCTCGAGCATGCCCATATTGTAAACGTTTTTCCTATATGCCTATAAGCCAGCTGCTGACTATGGAATGTAAGGATCCCAAACCAGAATTTCCAGCAGGATTTCCAGGTACAACCAACCTGGAAGAATGGGGATGCAGCTTCACACCATGTGAAGCTTCCTGAGAAGTTCCTTTCAGAGAACTCCACCCAGGCACAACCTGGATTCATGGATATCTGGGGGTGCTGAAGAAAAGAATTTCAGGGACAGTCAGTATGATAGCACAGCTGGCTTTTCTTAGAAACAGAAAGAAAGATGCTTGAGAGACACTGAAGCAGACCTGACAGCATAAGTGTGAGCATCTCAAGGAAGTCCATGGACATGGATATATACATATGCATAAACTATATGTACATATAATTTCCCTATCTTTAGAATATTGTCATTTTGCTTTTTTAAATATATACTCTGTCAGCACTGTATGGAGTCCTGAATGGTTCCTGGTTCCAAACAACAGAATTCCATTCTATTGTAAGCAGGAAAGATGCTTATTTATGCATCTTTGCTTTAATTAACTCACAAATAAAAACACGACACAGCCAATTAAGGAAGGATATAGATAACCCTATGGCTTTCTAAGTTACATTCTCTAGATAGTGTATAATTCTCCAGAGCATGTTGTTTAAAGGCTAGAGAATTTTTCTTAGTAAATAAGTTGTAAGATGTATTTATGAGGGGTATTGTTTAGATTAGGAAAGAGGGTCCCCAAGTAAGCACAGATTCCCCATTGTCTTTGACATCTCTGATTGAGGTGCCTTTAGGAATGTACCATCTGGCCCAAAGTAAGTGCAAGTTTAGTCTTTGAGAAGATGTCATTTGGAAAACACTGTCTCCATTGGCCATTTGGGCTTTATCAGTGGTGGTGCCTTTCTCTCCCAGGATACAAGGGCCCCTTTCCTCTCCCAAGCCTTTTCTTCCCATGTCACCATAATTTTCATATCTTTTTAAAAAAATTGTCATCTTGCTTTTTAAGGTGTACTCTTCCAGTGTATGTATAATGTAGTCTTTAATGGTTCTTAGTTCTAAACATCAGCAGCTTCTACCCTATTGGGGGCAGAAGTCACTTTATTCTAATTAACACACAAATAAAAACTTCATATAGTTTAAGGAAGTCACTCAAACACTTGGTCAGTCCCAAACTCTGCATTTCAGTTCATTTTCCTTTATAGCCGAATAATACTTCACTTTGTACATAAACTGTGTTTTCATTACCTGTTGGTGGACATCAAGGGTTGGTTCCATTTCCTTGCAATCATAAATAAAGCATCAATAAACATGGCTGTGCAAACATCTCTGTGGTAGGATATAGAGTTCTTTGGATACATGCTCAGGAGTGGTATGGTTGGTTAATATGGTACTTCTATACTTAAGTTAAAAAATTTTTTGCTTTATTTTTATTTCATGTGTATGTGTGTATTGCGTGCATATAGGTAGGTGTACCTGTGTCCTGAAATACCCAAAGAGGTCACAAGAGGGTGTTGGAGCCCTTGGAACTATAGTTATGGACATGTTGGTAGCCACCATGTGGGTGCTGGAATTCAGACCCAGGTCTTCTGTAAGAACAGTTAGTGCTCTTAACCACTGAGCTATCTCTCCAGGCCCCTATATTTAATTTTTTGAGGAACCTTCATACTAATTTCCATAATGGCTGTGCTAATTTGTATTCCCTCTAGAATTGAATAAGAGTTTCTTTTTCTCCACATCCTGTCCAATATTTGTTATCAGATTTTGTTTCTTTCTTTTTAGATTTTTGAGACAGGGTCTCACTATGCAGCCATAGACAATCTGGAACCCACTATGTAGAATAGGTTGGTCTCAAACTCACAGAGATCCACCTGCCTCTGCCTTGAAATTGCTGGGATTAAAGGTGTGCACCACCACGCCCAGCATTATTGTTAGGTATCTTAACAATGGCCATTATAATAGTGGTAAGGTGGTATCTTAAAATAGATTTAATTGCATTTCCTTGATAACTAGGGATGCTGAAAACTTAAAAATGATAAAATATAGTTTATTTTGGACAAAAATATGAGTGACCATGGCTGGGGAACACAGATTTAGGTTACTCAAATTGCATGTTCATGTTCCCTGTGTCTTCTTGTAACATATCCATCATGGGTATTTAAAACTCTTTGAATAATTCCAATACCATTGTTGTCTTGTTTGTTGGCACACGCTATCATCTTTATTTATTTGAGAACTTTATGGTTCTTGGTACAGTGAATTCTTTTATTTGGAGTGTTAAACATTTTGGAATGTCCTCAGAGTCTGGATATCAGTTACACATAACATTTTTCTGGCTTTTCCTGATAGCACCCAAGTGGGAGAAAGGGCCCTGATATTAGTGACTGATGGAGATAGCCTTGGATTGCTTGGCACCCGAGGAATGTGGCTCCTTGTGGTGTCTGGGTGAAGATGGGAGTTCCAGTTTCCATGTGGCCTCCCTTGCTCTCTAACTTTAATAACATTCGGCTTTGAAAGTCTTTTAATTATATTGTACTTATATCCTTTTTCTCAATAAAGATCAAATCTGGAGCTGTTGCCCAGAGAGTTGGAAGCCATTTAGCTCTGAATGCTACTTCATTTCAAGTGACTCAGGGTCTTGGAATGAGAGTAAGGAGAACTGCTCCAGCATGGGGGCTCACCTGCTGGTGATCCACAGCAAGGAAGAACAGGTGGGTGCTTTCTGAGAGATAACAGCCTGCCTGATATGTGTTCATCTCTTTTTGTTAAGAAGGAGATTTTAAATCCCAGCACTTGAGAGGCAGAGGCAGGCTTCTTCTTCACTCAACACCCATTACTAAAAGGAAACAAATTAGTTAAATGAGTAAATAAACAAAAACATCTAGGCTGATTGCCCCTACCCTGAAGTCATCAATGGGCTTTAGAAAACTTAACCATATAGTTGGTACATGCCTTACTCCCAGCACTCAGGAGGCAGAGGCAGGCGGATCTCTGTGAGTTCAGGGTAGTCCAAGAGACTCCCCAAATAACACAGGCTATTGCAGTGAACACAAGCTTAGTAATAGCATGCATTACTCTCTCCTTTCTGACAGAGGATGCAATGTGACAAGATGCCTCAAACTCCTGCCACCATGCATTTCCTGCCATGATTGTCTGTACCCTGGAACTATGAGCCAAAATAAACTTTTCCTCCCTTAAATTGCTTTTGTCAGGTATTTTGTAGCAGAAACAAGACAAGTAACTAATACAAAGGTATAACTCAACTAGATAGATCCCTGTCCCTTTAAACTTGAATACACAGACATGAAACAATCATAAATAAGAATCTAATTATAATTGTGACAAATGTTTAAAAAATAGTTGAGCTACTCTTACCTTTTCACTTTTCTGTGGATTGTAAAATATTAAACTTAGAAACAGAGGCAACATGATAATTACTGGAGGTTGGTGATAAGGGAGGTTGGGGAGATATTGGCCAATGGGCAAAAAATTTCAGTAGACATGAGACGTCAGTTCAAGAGATATGTTATACATTATGATGACTTCAGTTAATAATACAGTAACTTGTAAACTGTTGGGGAACCCTGCTGCTAGGGTTGTAGTCCTCCATGTCCGGATAGCTCTAAGGGGCTCGGCACCATATGGAAGGACTCCCCTTCTCAGCAAGGGGCCTCTTCCTCTCTTCCTGACTTACCTGGAAAGTGCCGCCAAGCACAGATGCCTGACCTTATTTGGAACATGACCTTTGGCATAATTACCTGGAGTAAAAACTACCCCCAGGGTTTTTTCTATATGATAATCAGGTAGTCGGACGATAGGCGCCTACTGCCACATGTAAATAAAGCATACTATGAGCACCTATCAGCGGAGGCATTGGCTACTGCCTCCACACTATATTTTCCCTAGTTCTCCCACTGAATAAACGGAGCTGTTTCACTGAGTCTGGAGCTGTTTGCATCGTTGAACCTGCCTCCCCAGAAGGGCTTTCTTCTGTCAGTGCTCACTGGCTGTTCTGACCCCGCTCGTTGCTCCTGCTCCCTTTGTCCTTGGGGATCGGTGGCCAACAACCCACGAGGAGAGGGAGTGGCCCCACAAGATCCTATCTCAAAAAAAAAAAAAGGAGATTTTATGGATCAGATAATTGGTGCTATGGCAGAAGGCTTTCCATCAGATAGGCAGAGAGGCTGCCTGAGCCTTTATAGTCTACATCTCATTTCTACTTCAGTACAACTAAACAGCCCCCAAGGAGTTGTGGCATCAGAAATGTAGCACATGAAGGTTGAGGGAAGGATGAAAATGTTTCTCTTTGAAATACCAGGTTGTCATTTCAGTATTCTAATGTTTTCTATATTACTAACTGCTTAGCAGAGAAGGGTATTAAGTTGAATAGAGTTGAATCATGAAGAGTCACAATCAACCATCAGAAATGGAATATCTGGTTAAAAGAAAATGATTAAATCTGAAAAAACCGTCTGACACACAACTTTGAAGAATGTTATGTGTTAGTGAGGAAAAGAGGTGAAGTGAGTCCAAGGTGAGAATTCACTGTGTTCATGGTCAGGTACACTCTTAGACGAGGGCATCTCTCAGCACTCATACGGGAAGCTTCTTGTCGGAGATGGTGATTAGCACAGACAACCACAACTGGTCAACATGCAGAGAATTAGAGACTGTGGAATACCCAGCTCTAGATGGGACAGCTCTATCATATCTCCTCCAAAGGCTTAAGGATCATCACAGAAGAGGGGGTGAAAAACATAAGAGCCAGAGGTAGCAGATAACTACAAGGAAACTGCCTTTCCCAGACAGCAGGGCAGTTGTACATATGAACTCACAGCAGTTGTGACAACATGCACAAGACCTGTGTAAACTTGACCCAGACAAGATCCCACCATGGAGGGGGACTTGGGCATGAAATCCTACCTGTAGTCTAGGAGCTATTGGCAACTGATAGCTGCTGGGAGATGGAGAGTCAGTTTTCTTTAAGGATGTGACTCCTCGTAGGTCAACAATGCTCTAGGGGATGGACCCACACTCAAGAGTATTTTGACATCACAAACTGGGCTTTATGAGTTTATAGAAAAGTGAACATAAAGTGAAGGGGTAGGGAGGTTGGTGTAGATTTGGGAGGACCTAGGGGAAAGGGGAGGAATATAATTAAAATACACTGTATGAAATTTCAAAAGAATTTAAAAATGATATTAGAAAAGAACCACCCATGCCATGCCCCACAACATCCAAACTCCTTCTTCTCTTGCCCCTCATAAATAAAAGCTCCAAACAATAACTGGGGCCCCTGAGTACCTTCACTCATGTGGCCTGCTGTCACTCTTGACAACATATTTCTTTCTAGTCTGCATTATCACTTTGCTTTGAGTAAAGTGTTCTTGCTACCTTGAAATCTGTGTGCACCTTTATTTTATTCATGAGTATGATGCCAAGACCCTGGAAACACCTGGCCCAGACCCTGGCCGCTGGTAACAGATGGAAAGGTTAAGGATCACGATTTGAATCTTACACTCTGTGTACGTGCTCAGAGGATTATGCTGTGCTCTATAATTTTGTATAATTAGAATGATTTTTAAGAGATAATGCAAAAATTCTGTAACAGAAACAGAAGCACTTGGTTGATGCTGAACACACTTTCTTCTTTCCCCCTTAGGATTTCACCATGAACCTGGACACTCATGCTATTTATTATTTGGGGTTGTCAGATGCAGGGGTCATAGACAATGACAATGGGTCGATCAGTCACCATATAATCCAAATGCCACGTGAGTATAGGCTTAGATGGAGGGCTTCTGGGACCTGAAATACACAAAGAATTTAGGGTGTTCCGGCTGTCAGGAATGAAACAGAAATAGCTCACTCTTGGTTTAACTCTTCGGCTTAGAGCTGCTTTTATTCCTCATTTATCATCAGAAGACACACGCTATTGTTTCTCCCAACAGAGATGAGGGAATTTGAGGAGTGTAGAATGATAAGTTCAAGTACCCAACTGCGGCTCTTGTATCCAGGTGGATTCCATTGTGCTTTCTACTTCTGGGAGAACATTTAATGCAGCAGACTGACAGGTTATTGTGTGTTGCTGGCCCTGTTTTCAAGGGGAATGTCGGAGATACGGGCAGTGGAAAACTGCATGAGAAGTGGGGAAAGGTTGACTTGGGTGTACTCAGCCTGTTACCTGCAGACTTCAACCACAGCCTCAGGCTTGCTCATTTTTGTTCAAAACCCTATTGTAGGAAATGCTTTCATTTTGTTCCCTTTTAGATTCTGGCACCCAACTGAACCCAACAATGTTGATGAGCAGTGTGTTGTGCTGAATCATCCATTCCGAGGATGGGGCCGGAATGATGTCTTTTGTAGTAGAAGTCACAGGTTTATTTGTCAGATGAAGAAGATGTATTTATGAATCCAACATTCTCCATGGACGTATGATTGAAATGTCATTCATCATTATAGAGACGCCACAAAAGTTCTCTACATGAAAGAGGTGTCCATAGAATTTCAGGTAGGCAGCCAACTGTTCCACCTATGAGAACCCTGGTCCAGATGTATATTTACATATTAATTTACTCCTTTATATAGTAAGCTTTCATTGAGAAATGCTCCATTTATCAGAGACTGTATCAGGACCCTTTTGTGCACACCTGGGCTTCTCTGCCAACCCTCTGATTTCCAAAGTTTTATTCGCTGATAACAATTGTATGTTGCAGTCCCTCCACCTATTTGCTTTTTCTATTTTCCACCTATTTGGTTTTATCTATGTGTAACTGACAATTAAAATTGTGCATATTTAAGTTACAGTGTCTGATTTGATATAGATATGTACTGTGAAATCACTACCAGGATCATGTTAATGGCACTTTTCTTTACCTAACATAGTTACCATTTGTGTGTGTGTGTGTGTGTGTGTGTGTGTGTGTGTAGTGAGAACATTTAAGACTTTTTCGTATATTTTTATTGAATTTTTGTGTATTTCACACAGAACATTTTAATCATCTTTATAACCCCTTCCCCATTGGCACCTTCCCATAGTCCCCCCCCTTCCCCACTGGATTTCATGCATTCTGTCATTTATGTTAAGGTCTATTGAGTCAAGTTAGTGTTCCGTGACAGCACTCAGTGCTAGTTCATCTACTGGGATCTAGTCAGCCTATCTAGAGTCACTCTTTTAAAGAAGATTAGCTCTGGGCCTGGAGAGATGGCTCAGAGGTTAAGAGCACTGACTGCTTTTGCAGAGGACCAGGGTTCGATTCCCAGAACCCACATGGCAGCTAACAACTATCCATAACACCAGTTCCAGGGGATTTGACACTTTCTTCTGACCTCTGTAGGTATTGCATAACATGGGTGCACTTCCATACATGCAGGCAATATGCTCATACACATAAAATAAAAATAATAAATAAATAAAAAAGATTATCTCTTCCTCACCCAGCAGTAATAAGCTGCCAATAGTTCTTTGGCTAAGATTGAGGCCTGCTGCCCATCCCCACAGTTCTCTGCTAGGTTTTTGTCTGCTTGAGTTACATGTTCTTTTGTCTGTTGAGTTGCTGTAACTTCATATGAGCAAGGTCCCTGGAGCCTGTAGGACTCTATTTCCATATGGTCATGCATCTCCTCCCTGGTTCTCACAATCTTTCTGTCCCCTCTCCCACAATGATCCCTGAGCCCCAGGTGGGGGGACCTCAGTATAGGAGTCCTGTCCAAGGACCCACACTCTGCAAACTCTTATTCTCTGTGCTTTGGCCATTTGTGACCTTTTGTGTTTGTTGCCCTTTGTTGCTTGAGGGAGCTTCATTGATGAGAGTTGAGAGATGCATCAGTATTCACTATACCCCTTGTTCCACTATGTTCTGTGAGCCTTAGGTGTAGAGGTTTCATTGTAGATGTGTCACTTAGGGGTTGTGCATTTCACAGACAATCTCTGTGTGTGACCAGTTGTGGAACTCTGTAACAGTCTCTTTGATGAGTGGTGACTGGTATACTTGTCTGTAAATATAAGGATTCATATTTAGCTCATACTAAGAAATCACATTTATCTAGGGATGTGACAACCTTGGAGGTTTCTCTAAGATCTATGACCTCTCCAGCCATGTGTATTTGGCTATGTTTCCAGTACCACATGAGTTCTCTCCCGCTGAGTGGGCTTTAAGTACAATTAGGTAGCTGTTGATTACTCCCATGTCAAAACACCACTACTGCCCCAGTATAGTTTGCTATGCTGGTCATTGCTGTGGTTATTAGGGCTTAAAGTTGATGTTGGACCATTGATTATGCCCTCCCTTAAACCTTCCATAGTTTCTTCCAAATTTCAGATACAGAGGAAATAAATTGTTAACTATTTTCACTCTGTTGCGCCTTTGATTCTCAGTGCTTATTTTTATTTCACCTGAAACTTTGTGCCATTTCACCAATATAAGGTGTCTTCCTCTATTGCTCATCATCTTATTTTTCAAGACAGACTCTCTCATTTAACCTGGAGCTAGCCGCTTTGGTTAGGCTGGCTTGTCAGTGAGTCCTCAGGATAAACTTGTCTCCATCCCCTTCCCCCAACACTAGAGTTACAGATCCTGCTGCACTATTATGTGGAGCTGAGTATCGAAATGTGAGTCCTCAGACCTGTGCAGCAAGCATTTTATTCACTGAGTCATCTCTCCAGGCTCCTCCCAACTCCCAAAGCCAATTTCTCTTATTGGCTGAATTAATTTATCCTACCACCGGCAGTGCATTAGATTTCCTTTTTTTTTTTTTTTTTTTTTTTGCATCTTCTTCAGCATTTTCTCTTATTTTTTGGATAACCCTGATTTGGTTAATTGGCTATTATATCATGATTTGATGTGTTAGATGGTTAGTCACACTGAATATCTTTCATTTACATGTTGACCATTTATACTTCTTTTCAAAAATGTATATTCTCAGCCAGGCATGGTAGCACATGCCTTTAGTCCCAGGACTCAGGAGGCAAAGGCAGGCTCTATGAGTTCAGGCCAGTCTGTTCTACATAGTGAATTCTAGATCAGCTAGGGTTATAGGGAGACCCTGTTCCCAAAAGACCAAGAAAAGTATATTTTCATAATTTGTACATTTTTTAATTTTCAAAAGCTTTTCTGTGTAGCATTAATTTTATTCCTTTTAAATTGTATTTATTACTTTAATTTTATGTGTATGAGTGTGCTGCCTGCATGTGTGTAAGTGCACCTGTGTCATGCAATGCCTGTGGAGGTCAGAAGAGGGTGTTGGATTTCCCCTGAAACTGGAGTTACAGATGGTTGTTAGCTACCATGTGAGTGCTGGGAATTGAACCCAGATCCTCTCCAAGAGCAGCCAGTGCTCTTAACTGTTGAGCCATCTCTCCAACCCCACATTAATTTAATTCTTAAACAACAAACAAAATAGTGGGTTTCATTAGGACATTTCATGTATGTATATCACTCAGTTTTTCTCATTTTCACTACTAATTTTTAAATTGGGTACTTTGTTTTTGGTGGTTGAGTCTTTAGTTGAATGAATGTTAAGAAATATTAACCTCTTGTCAGATGAATAGTTGACAAATATTTTCTCCTATTCTGAAGGGTGTTCCTTTATTCTGTGGTTTCCTTTGCCATACAAGATCCTCTTATTGGATGTAATACTATTTGTCTAGTTCTGCTTTTTTTGTCTGTGCTTTGGGGATCTTATTAAAAAATGATAGTCTCTACTGATGTCTTGAAATATTTCTTTTATGTTTTCTCCTAGTAATTTTACAGTTTTGAGAACTACATTTAGGTCTTTGATACACTTTGAGTTGACTTTTGTATATGATTTAACAGGTAATGCTCAAGTGAAAATATTGATTTTTAAGATTTTGGTAAAGAAGATGAATAAGTCAAATCCTTACACTATATTTCTGACAAGAAACCCAAACATGATAAAAATATTTCCTCCTATTATTAATTTTCCAAATGTTCTCTCCATGTACATATTTTTTTTACAATGTAGTCGTGTTGTCATTTATTATCAAAACACCATCTTTATCTTGAAAGCAAAGGTGTGCGTGTACGTGTGTGTGTGTGTGTGTGTGTGTGTGTGTAGACCGCCAGAAGCAGATCATTGGAAGACATTTCATAGCACTGAAAAAGTGAACAAGCTGTGGCTCTTGAGATTCCAACTCCCAGAGCCTTTCCTTGAGTTCCCCTTCTTCTAAGCCACTGAGACCCATGGCTGGAGGGACTATGTGGTTCCTGTAATCCCAACTCCAAGTAGACTCTCCTAGACTCCTTCCCTGCATCTCCAACTCCAGGTAGACACTTCCTGAACCCTGCCCTAGTTCTCCTTTCTCCAAGCCTCTGGGACCATGTGGCTCTGGCAACCCTGACTCAAAGTAGACGCTCCCAATCACTCTCCCTTCTTACTGTTAGAACTTCTTATCTCTGATGCAACCCTCGGTAAGCACTCCCAGAGCCTCTCCCTCCACCAACAACCCCCCTTCCATATTACTCAGGGTCCAGGAGGCATTCTGTGACCTCAATCAAAGGTAGAGATCTCCATTTTGTCCTCCACACCACCCATATCTGGCTGATATCAGTGTGACATTCTCTATCTGGCCTCCAGTGAACACTAATGCTCATTCCCAGTATGATCCCAGATTCTAACAATCAAGGATCACCTGTAGAACCAGACTTGAGATAGGCAATGAAAGTCGTCTCCTGGGTTCAGAAGTACACAGATTCCCAACTGTACTGGGAGCACATCTGATCTCCCATTCACACATTAATGCAGGGCTGTCAAAGACTGAACTTCAAGCACAATCAGTTGGTCCACAACCTGACAAATTGGAGTAATAACAAAGATCCAAACACCCTTCTAACAAAGGAGAGACCAGATATTAGTATGAGGAAACACCACTAACAAGACAACTACAGATGCATAGAACCCATCCCCCAAACACAAACTACAAGAATAACCAAGACAATATGTCTCATTCAGAAATTAGTGCCCCCATGGTAATGTTCCCAGATAAGAGCTGCTTAGCTGTTCAAGCTGATGCACAAAACAATGATTTCAGAATAGCAATTACAAGTACGCTCAAGAAACTCGAAGTTTTAGAATTCTGGAATGAAGACTGTGAAAACTCAAATAGTTGAATGAATTAAAACAGTCCAAGACATGAAAATAGAAGTTCTGAAAAATAAAATGAAACTTTAAAGGAAGAGTTTGATCAGTGAAATAAGAAAACTCAGTGGAAGCCAGGTGTGGTGGTGCATGCCTTTAATCCCAGCACTCAAGAGGTAGAGGCAGGCAGATCTCTGTGAGACCGGCCTGGTCTCAATAGCAAGTTCCAGGCCAGCTGGGGCTACAGAGAGACCCTGTCTCAAAAGAAAAAAAAAAAACCCTCAGTGGAAAGACTCAGCAATAGGATGGATCAAA